AACAGGTCTGGCATTGTTTGAGACATTTCATGAAACAAAACAAAACTCACAAACAAACAAATCCATTGCTGGTGGGAGTTACTGTCCCGTCGTTCCTAGCTGAGGAGACTGAGGCGCAGAGGCTGGGAGGCACAGGTGGAGATGCCACACTGTCCCCTCCGCACCCCGTCCCTCCGGAGCGGAAGGCTTTCATCCGGCAGCCGGCCCTGCCCGTGGCGCAAGGCCCAGCGGCTGTGGCGAGCTGGGCCGGACGGCCGTGGCGGTCAGGTGTGGAGGCCACTCTCTGCTGGCTCCCCTTCAGTTCAGGCTGTTGCATCAGGGTGCAGTCCCTGCCGACGGCCGCTCAGGGTAGGGTTGGGTCACGTGCCAACGGAGGAGCACGCAGAGGAATCGGACGGGGCTCCAGTGATCTCTGAAGAGGACAGAGGCCTAGTGCAGTGTGAGGCTCGACTCCGCTGTCTCGGTTAGCGCCGCAGAACTTGGACTCGGCGTCCTCGATCACCGATGAGGAAACGGGGGCAGGCGGAGGAGTGGACTGCCTACGGCGGAGACGGAAGGCAGACCTGAGGTTTGACCCTAGGCCCCGCTGGCTGCAAGTCGTTCTCCCAAATCACACAGAATAGAATTAACTGAGAGGCAGAGCCACTTGTGACAAGGGGTTTAATGAAGGGCTTGCCAAGCGTGAGGGGTGGGCGGTTGGGGGGGCGGGCAACTCGATGGGGAGGGAAGGGGTCCTGGCAGAGAAGGCATCGGGGGTTGGCCGCGTGAGAAGGTGCAGGAGGGGTGGTGAGTGGGCAGGAGGAAGCGCAAGCAGCCAGGGCCCTGGGACTGCGGATGCATTCGGGGGACCCTGACGGGGCCCGGGGCGCTGGGGGCTTCTCGCCGGGCCATCAGTTTGGAAATGCATGTTGGGGCCAGATCGAGAAGGAACGTGGATGCCAGGCTATGGAGCTTTAGTCTGTAAACCGTGGCAGTTAACATCAGAGCCACTCTTAGCAACCATTCTTGCAGCCGTGGGACATTGGACCTGGAAGGGACCAGATGGCTTGTCCAACTTCCTCCTCCTCCTGAGGCCCAGAGAGAAGTGACTCAGCGGAGGCCACGCTGAGGGTCAGTGGAGCCCGGGCTAGAATCCAGGTCTGTGTCTGTCTGTATGCACACCCCTTGCCTCTGTCCTTCCACAGTCTGCAAGAACCGCGTGGGCCCTGCTGGAGAGGCGGCCGCAACCAGTCCCTGCTCTGGTGAGGGGGTGGCCCTTTGGGCAAACGGATACCCCGCCCCGTCGGTAGGCGTCTCAGTGGGACAGCCTTTGGGGAAACCGTTTGGTGGGATCTATAAAAGCTGCACCTGTGTGTACCTGTTTCACGGTTCCAGGGCTTACCCTCTGGTCATCCTCGGTCACGTGTGCCAAGGGTGCGGTCAGGGGACAGCTGTCGCAGGGAGTTTGTAATTGCAAGAAGCTGGGGAGCAGGACCCTCCTTGCTCACCAGTAGGGTCTAGTTAAGTGGTCATACACCAACACAAAACGGACACGCAGCCGCTTTTTTAGGTACGGTCCTTGTTTTTGCGCTGGTGTGGGAAATGTTTAAGACACAGGAAGTGAAGCGAGCAAGCCAAGAGGTGCAGTACGAACCCCATTTGCGTAAGGAAAGAAAACACGTGTGTGCTTGTGGATACATGGGAACTATCTGGAAAGACACACACGCTGTTAACACCGGTTGTCTAGGGAAAGGGGAGGGTGGCAGGGAGAGGCCTGCTGCTCTACACCACGCATGTTTTTAAATTTCTTGCTTTCTTGTCTGTCTTCCTTTTCTCCCCTTCTCCCTCTTGCTGTTTGCTTTTTTTTTAAAAAAGGGAAAAAAGGAAAAAACTATGAGCATGTATTATTTTTATAATTTAAAAAATAATAAAGTAAAAGATAATGGCAACAGCTCATAGGATGGATTTTAAGTTCTGTTTATAGAGCACTTAGAGACATTCTAAATAAGCCTATATTCATCTTTACAAGATAGACTGATTTTTTTTTTTAATGAATACACATAAAGTCTCATAACCTTGGGTCCTTACAGGTCTGAATTTGGGTTTTATGGTCTGATATTTATTCATTCGTCCCATATTTATTTTGTGCCTGGGTGTATCAGGCATGAGGTCGTTGGCCTTCTGCAGCGAGAAGGTCATGTAAGTCACTCCCAGGTATTTACGGAAGGGAGGGGAGGCAGGCAGAACAGATGCCTGCAGAGGAATGCGTCCCCTCAGTAGACACAAACTGGGTGTGTTCTGTGTGTGGACCAGGCAGCTGGGACGGCCCTATGAGAGCGATACAATCCCTGCCTCCCCTGAAGAGTGCCCGCTATAGTGGAGACCGGCGCACAGCAAATCGCTGTCAGCAGCAGGATGTGGCAAAGGCGGGATGCACAGGACACTTAAGGCAGCCCAGAGGGTCTGGGGGAATGGGGAGTCCTGCGGAGTCTGGGAGGTTGAATGGAGCCTGAGGAGCAGGGAAAGGGGGAGCAGGGGCGGGGGCGGGAGGTGCTCAGCCCTGAGCAGCTCCAGGAGGAGCAGAATTGCGAAGGGCAGCTTGAGCTGTTGGTTTGCAGGCCCCGCGAAGGAACTGAACTTCATCTTGGAGGGGGGGCATGACCTAAAGCCTGCGATTCAGGAAGGTCGCTCTGGCCACACCTAGAACTGGGCTGGAGGAAGAGGGGGGAAAGCATCGCTTCCCGGCGGGCACTTCGGCAGGACAGCTCTGATGATTCGTGCTGTGCCTGTGGACCACTTAACATTTTTCTTAGAAGAGATCATTTAGAAATATAACTTATTTACACAAACAAAAAGAAAAAACAGCGAAAAAGAAAAAGAACAGACTCCACGCTCTGGCGTTGTACCCAGGCTTGGGGGTAGGAACTGAAAATGGCAGGCGGGGACAGTAAGGAGGACGCTGATTTAGGTCCCAAGGGGCCAGGAGAGTGGGGAGCTGTCGGGGTGGGGGAGGAAGAGCTGAAGCTGAATAAAGGCCCCTGTGGCCTCCACGTTGCTAAATCCGCCCTCCGTTGGCCTCCAGGCAGCACGTGACCTGTTGACCCCACCTTCCCCGGTCTGGCCTTCCTCTCTAGGCTTCCATTTTCCTCCTGCATGGGCGAGTCCCCCTTTCCACCTCCGCGGCTGGGTCCCCCTCTCCCAGCCTCTCTGTGCCGGCGGCGCTGGCCCTGCCCTGGCCTCCCTCCCCATTTCCAGGCTGTCAGTGCGGTCTCTGTGCAGACATCTTCCCTGCCCTCCCGGCTCATAGTCAACAGTCTACTGATACCTCTGCTTGGATCGCTAACAAAAATCCTGAATTGATGTCCAAAACGGGGCTCCTGACCGCCCCTAGCCCTACGCCGGTCGTCTTCCCACCCCAAGGATGGCCAGTCGTTCCCTCCGGCTTCCAGCCGGAAACCTTGCAGCCGCCCGGACTCTCTTGCTTTTCTCGCATTCCATCTCCAGTTTTCAGGATCTCTTACTGGTTCTACCTTCAGAAGAGATCCAGAGTTTGACCACTTCTCCCCGCTCCCTTTTCCCACCCCAGGCCAAGCTACCATCATCTTTGGCCTTTGTCCGCCCACCACCCAGCAGCCAGACTATTTAAGACACGAGTGAGCTCACATCGCTGCCTGAATCCAAACCCTCCAATGCTTCCCCACCTCACTCAGTAAAAACCGAAGTCTGTACACAGGCCCACATGTCCCCTGTGCTGCTGTTCACTGCCCCCACCTCCAGGGCTGTGCCTCTGCCTGGACCTCCCCCCCCCCCACCTCCCCGAAGGCCTTTCTTCTCAAGCCTTCTCACCCCGACTCCACCCCATGCTCCCCAGCTGCCGGCTCTGCTTTATTTTTCTCCCACAAAACTTGCCACCTTCTAACATACCACAGAATTTACTTTTTTTAATGGTCTGTTTCCCCAGGTAGGGGATGCTGGAGGAAGGCAGGGATTTTGTCGGTTCTGTTCACCGGCTTCTCCCCAGCATCTAGATCAGTGCCTGGCATAGAGCAGATCTGTGCACAAATATTTGCTGAAAGAATGGGCAGACCCGGGGTAACAAGGGTCTTATCCTCAGGAAGGACCACGGGGCCTGGGGTCGGGGTGGAAGGGAACGGAGGCGATGCTGGGCGTGAGGCTGCACTAGGGCTGCTGGAAGGAGCAGAGGGCAGGAGAGGCTAAGCCTGAGAATGGAGCGCTGGAGGGGAGGGGAGTGCGGGGGTAGTGCAGCTGAAGCCCAGGTGGGGGTTCTGAGGCTAAGGGGGGAAAGCCAGAGGCCTCCTAAGTGGACGCGGGCTGAGAGGTGACAGGGGACAGGAGGTCGGGGAGCTTCAGGGACTTCAGGAAGGAAGGTGCCCGAGGCAGCCGTGCGGCGGACGGCGGCTGCCGCTGGGGAGTCTCCCTCGCCGGGCAGCGAGCGGAGGGCATGGGTGGGCGGCGGCGAAAGAAGAGCGCCCAGCGCCCGGGAAGGCAGCGCCAAGGCACGGCCCTTCCCTCAGGTGGGCGGTGGAGGCGCGACGGCGCTACAGAGCGGAGACCCAGCGCCCGGCCGCCCTCGTGTGGGTGCACTGAGGCCCCCCTAGGGGCGGCAGTGGGGCGCCAAGAGCAGGGCGACCACGCTGATCGTCCGCGCGGGAGTCCACCGAGCCCGGGCGCGCCACCCCGACGCGGCTGTTACCCCCGCCCAGCCGTTCGGTCCGGTCGCCCCCGTCCGGGTGCCCCACGCGTCGGCCAATCAGGTGGCGCTACCGGCCTCCCGGCCCCGAGGCCCCGCCCCGAGCGGGCGCGTCGCCAGCCAATGGGCGGCCGAGCACGGGCTCCCAGTGCGCGCAGCCCGCGCGGACCGGCTCAGAGCGAGAAAAGCGAACCCAACCCGTCGGGGCCGCCGCTCCGGACCCGCTGCCACCGCCGCCTCCCCCCGGATCGGGTGTACTGTCCCAACCCGAAAGTCCAGTTTTGCGGCCCGGCAGCGGCAAGCGAGCGCGATGACACAGGAGTACGACAAGTGAGTGGGGCGCCGGCGCGCGAGTCCGGCTGGGCAGCCCGGGGCGGCCGCTGCCCGCCGGGCCGCCGCACCTGCCGCGAGGCCGGGCGGAGCGGGGCCGGCGGGCGCGGTGCGGAGCGAGCGGGGATCGCGCGTCCTGTGGTCTGCTCTTTTCTTTGCGCCTCAGCGCTCCCCCCGCCTTTGTTCCACCGAAGGCCCCTGGGGGGACCCTTGCCTTGGGAACTGGACTCCATAGAGCCCCCCACCCCCGCCTCAGCGTCCTCGTCAGGGGGACCACCTCCCGGACGCGTCCCCTTCTCTGCTCCCTGGTGGCCCCGGTGCGCGGAAGGAGATTGGGGGCGCCCTTCGAGGGCTGCGCTTCTGCGCGCGGAGCCTGTCCCCCCCCACCCCCGGTGGTGTCCCCAGCCGGGCGCCGTCGATTGCTCTGCTCAGTGGGGCCCTGGAGCTCCCCGCGACGCGCCCTGCGGCGGGACAGGTAGAGCTGTCCAGGTAATCTCGTCACTCGTCCGTGTCCCTGGGTCACCCGGGAGAACTTCCGAAAGCAAAAATCCAGGGAACAGTTGAAGCGCTGCGGGGGTCCTGGCATTTTCTTTCCCTGGCTGGCTGTGTGAGTGAGAAACTCGCTGTAGGAGTTACTTTGCCACTTGCATCATTGATGGTAATTACATCTGCTCTAATTAAACGCTCAGAAGATCTGGAGGATGAAACTTGGAAATCAGGGCGATACTCTTGAAAGCACTGGATTAATAATGTGCCCTTTGGAGTTTGGAATTAAAGAAACATTTTGACAAACGTAAGGTAGTAAGAAGACGTTAACATTAGGGGACGCTGGGTAAGGGATAGTTCTGTATTTTCTTGGCAACTCTCCTGTAACTATAAAATTGTTTAATAACTTAAAATGTATTTTAAAAAACAAAAAAGGAAATCGCACCAAACCAGATCGGTACGGTTCAGCTCAGTGACCCCAGGGCGGCCGGGCCCCCCTCCCAGTTGTAGCGTTATTTGCGGAGGATCACTTTGTTTGTGTGCTCTTTTCCTGGTTGAGTAGGTTAGATGTTATGTACAGAATATCTTAAATAGACGAGTCTTCTGTTGTAGAATATGCAGCCGAGTGATCCTTTGGACTAAAGTCTCCCGGGCGTCTTGGAGAGATCTCTGGGGAAAGGTCTGAGCGTCCCCCAAAGGAGTGATGAGCCTTCAGGGACCAGCAGCGGCCCCTCATGCCAGGAAACCGACAAAGGCAGCCGGTTTGGAGTGTATTTCTCTAACGTGTAGTTTAGATAAGGCAACTTTCCAAAGCTAAAATTTTGGTCTTAGGCACACTTTGGAAATTGAAGACGACTTCAGGGTGATCACTAACAAAACAATTTACAAAAAAAAATTTTACTTTCTGTTGCTTCTCTGAATTTGGGCTAGGCGTGGGAGAAGGGAAGCCGAAAAGCTAGCATTATGGGAATTGAATGAGCCAAGGGCTGTCATAACCTTTTGCAAGTAGCTATTACACTATTAATAACAGCTTAGCAGCGCACCAATAAATCACCCCAGGTACCTGCCGCTGGTTCAGTCGCTGGTGTGCTCTGTTCCTGACGGCGCCAGGAGGGCCCCTTTCTATATATCAGTGCACTTTTTAAATTTGAGATTTGTATAAATCATTTTCATTTTTAAACTGTCTCTTTTGAACAACCCATTGTGTTTGTTTTATGTTGAAATAGTACACTACCAGAAGGCTTCTTTTTCTACCAAATATAAGCTCCTATGACTTTATGCCTGGGCATGAGTAGCATTGGTTTTGAAATGACTTAATTTGGACTGAGGATACATTAAGTTGTTGGATTCCTCCACCCCCCTTTTTCAAAGATGTTCTCCATTTTTAAAAATCTGTATCTGTTTCTAAAGGGGCTGGGTGACTGCCAAACCCTAACCTTTGCTGATTACTTGAAAAGATAATCAGTCTTTCTACATTCACTTTTAGAGTAGGTAGGTCACCTTTAGGCAATTGATGTATTTCATCTGTGTGTTGCAATGAGAACCAATCCTTAAATTTGCTTGTTAGAATAGTGATAATTCAGAGTAGTTCTGAACATTTAAGTTTTTTTCCTTAAAGAAAAAACAACTGCTTCACTTTACTGGAGTTGGTGTTCCACTTTTTCTTTATATTGACATTAACTAGTACCAGTGAACAGTTGTTGAGACTGTTTACATTTCAAGTTTTGGAATCAGTAAATGTTTGCTTTAATTTTTTAAATCAGATCTTCTGTAAGAGTTTGCTAAGATCCACGGTGATTTTTCTGGCTTTTTCCCACCAAAGTACAGTTTTAAAATGAAATAGTCATTGCTCAGCATGGAAAACTGGTAAAGGTTTTTAAAAACAAATTCCTCCGCCCCATTTTCTGACAAATCTTTTTGTTCAGTGGCCTCATTTATTGTTACAGATTCTTAAGTGTTTATCTCTAAGATAAACAGTTGGCTCCCATAGCAGAAAATTATGCCTCCTCATTGATTTACAGTTGCCCGTGGCCACATTCCATGCTCAATCTGCTGGTAATCAGTAGAATATTCTAACTTTCTCACATACCCTGGAGGAGTGAGCAAGCAGCCCGTTTTCCCTCCACCCCCTCCTCCGTGCCCCTCCTGCACAGGCAGGAGAGTGTGAGGGCTGAAGGCCGGCACCAGCCGGAGGAAGAGGGAAGTGACATGCAGCAGCACGATGACTGAACTGTAGACTCTCGTTAAGAGGACACAGTCCTGACTGCTTGTGTCTGAAGAGCCTACACGTGCTGCTTTGCCTGACTTTGTCCTTGTGTTTGCTCCTATGAAGTGTTTGGATAGCCTGAATTTTCTTGGAGCGTTGTCTTTTTGTGTTTGCTCTTTTCCTGCCAAATAGCACATCCTAGGTTCCTTGTGCAGTCTAACTGCAGGATCCCGGCTGCCTAAATGCCTTGTAGCTGACTGGGTGGCCCCTGGCCTGCCATGAGGTGGGTTGTCTTCTGGTCTCGTCCTAATTTACTTTCTAAGGCCATTGGACAGGCAGTGGCCGGTTTTTACTGGAGCACCGTGAATTGGTTGTTTGGTTCTCTAAAAGTCAGCTCATGCTGCCTTGCAGTAGAGAAGTGTAACGTGTGTACCCCTCGTCTCTCCGAAGCAAACGGCCAGTGTTGGTCCTTCAGAATGAGGCGCTTTACCCGCAGCGGCGCTCCTACACCAGCGAGGACGAAGCCTGGAAGTCCTTCCTGGAAAACCCTCTCACCGCAGCAACCAAGGCGATGATGAGCATCAATGGGGACGAGGACAGCGCAGCCGCGCTTGGCCTGCTCTACGACTACTACAAGGTCGGTCTGCCTGCCCCTCAGGACCCCCGGCAGCGGCCCACCCTGCGCTTGATTCAGCGGCACGTAAAACAGTAATTTGCTGGCGGAATGCAATGCAAGTTGCTTCTGTAGTGACTATAATAGTTTAATGAGTGCTTTGAATTACTACGGTTCAAAGCCGAAAAATCTACGATCATAGAATCAAAGGGTTGTTTTTGAAACGAGGGGAGTAGCCAGCTGTTGCGGCTCCACGTGAAAGGGGAAGCTCCCGTAAAAGCAGCTGGTCGATGTGTCCGGTGGAGACGGAGCACTTCGCTGAAGGTCATTCTTAGTGCGTGGGAGCAGAAGTGGTTCACTCCCCGGTAGTCAGAGAGAGCTCCTTTTCCCCAAAGGATATTCCAGAGCCTTTGTTTTGATTTGATTGTAGGATTCCTGAAAAACCAACCAACGGTAGTTTTTAGTCTTGGACTTTCGAGTTCTGAGATCAGGAAATATTTTGTTGCCTGTTTCTCGAGATCTGGATGGGTCTTAATTAAATATAGTCCCCCCCGGCCGGAGTTTTACGTGGTGTTCACGGACAGGGCACCACCGATTGGTATCATCGCGCTGCCCTGGTAACACCGGCTCCCGCTTACTGACGACCTGCCCCCACGGGCGCCGGTCACAGTGTGTGTGTGTTACTTCCAAAACCTCCAGTGTCCCCTGCAGAATCTGGTGTTATCTCATGTTTGCAGGTGAGAAGAATAAAGGTCTCAGGCCGCACACAAGTGTGTGTTGCAGCCAGGGTTTCAGGCCTGGTCTGGCATGTGCCAAGGCCACCATCTTGGCTGTACCACGCTGTCCCCTGTGGGTCCTGCTCTGCTGGCTGGACCCACCGTGGCAGCCCTTCGTTCTGACCGGCAGCAGAGACGGGAGGATGGCTACATATTCCAGTTTACTTTTGCCATCTTTTTGTTTTTGAAACTTCGAAACCTATACGAGACTTAAAATAACAGGGCAATTAGCTCCTTAATATTTTCACCTACATTGACCAACTACCTGCGTCGCGTTCCATTCTGGCCCCATGTTCTTTCCTGAATACAAGAAATGCAGAGGGAAAAAGCAAAGAAGATAGTTACACTATCAAAGTCAGGGTGGGGCCAAAACAAGAGGTTTAATTATTTTCTGATATGAGGTCATATGGTCAGCTTGTGTTTCAGAGAGTGAGATAAGTATTTTTTTTCTTTGAATATGAACGGAAACTTGTATAGTAACTAATGATGCTGGAAGAAGCCCTTGTCTGGGAAGCGTAGCCGCTAAAGTTCCTTTGAAGTGGAACCTATTATATAATCTGTTCTTTTTATGGCTCGTTTTATTAACTCAGTGTACAAACCCTAAGTTCCTAAGTATTAATTATGAAGTTTGAAGTTACATATATGCAACTGAAACTTTGGAGAGTGGGAAAAAAATCAACAAGGTTTTAGTGCCAGGAAGGCTGACATAAGAATACTGATAGCAGTGGTTGTGTGTGTGTGATATAAATAGAGTCCTGAAGGTATTTTACATCGTAGGAGGAGATAAATTTTCTTGTCTGTTCATTAAGGGTGACAATCTTAGCAGTAGTCTATGACCAGCTTCTTTTGATAGGTGTATGGGGTACATTTGTTTATTTGTTTGTTTTTATTGTTTTTAAAAGATCTTATTTATTTTTAGAGAGGGGAAGGGAGGGAGAAAGGGGGAAACAAACATCAATGTGTGGTTGCATCTCGTGCGCCCCCTGCTGGGGGCCTGGCCCGCAACCCAGGCGTGTGCCCTGACTGGGAATCGAACCAGCTTCGGTCAGTCCACTGAGCCATACCAGCTGGGGCTGTTTGTTTTTAAATGACCTGACTTATTTATTTTAGGTTTTTAGGTGCAACCACCAGTCATTTTTACATAACTTCAGTAACGCTTTAAAAGCACATTATTTATACGTGAAACAACACTTTTTTTCTCCCTTTGGGGGTAAAGTAAGAATATAGGAATAGGATTCCTACACTCACACTGAAAACCAGTTTCACACTCGTAGCAGCTGTGGGGGGCGCGCTGGGGACCGGCTCGGTGGGGCTGAGGTCGCTGCACGCGCCGCAGTGTTTGCCCGCCGTCACCTCCCGTTCAAAGAAGAGCAGAGCCCAAGAAGGGGTAGGACAACCTGAATTCGACTTGTCCTTCGCAACAGGGACCATACCACTTCCAAAGTAGCTGAAGAAGCGCGCCCCTTGAATTCGGCGTCTGGGCCTCGGGAGCGCCCTGTCCACACAGCCGGTCTGATCCTTTCGCTGAGCCTTGGGGCTGAAAGGGGCGTGGCCGGGAGGAGCCGCGAGAAAGCGGAGGGGCTGCTGCTTGCATCCTCCTCGCTCGCGTCCTGTGCTTGAATGTAGGTTGAAGCCAGGCCAGAGGTATTTCCTTTAGGAGATGAGACCCAGACGCAGGGACAGAAGACTGGCGATGCCCTGAGTTTATTTGGCAACGAGTTGAGCCATAGTTGGTTTTCACATTCCCTCCTGGCCACCAGGCTGTCAGCTCTGGAGGGCAGACACCGCCTGGTGGACCCTGTTTCCCCCGAGCCTGGTATTGGAGGCATTCAGTAGGTAATAGGAAGGCCCGAGTTCATGGAGAAGTAAAAGCTGTATCTCTCCTTCACTGAGTAAGGATTAAATTGTTTTCGTGTGTGTTTCCATCTAAGGTCCCAAGGGAGAGAAGGTCATCGACAGCAAAGGCCGATGTGGAGCACCCAGAGGCAGATCACAGCAAAAGGTGAAGTCCAGCGTCGAGCATGAAATAGTTCTCTTGCAAAGTGCCAGGTGTCTGACAGCGCGATGGGAGGGTGTCCAGTGAGCAAGCGCGGGCGGCAGAGGGGGTCGGCTGGGCTCCCAATGTCCAGACTCAGGTGTCCGTGCTCACTCGCCTCTTACGAATCACGATTCCGTTGCTCTGAGAAGTTATCAGTCCCATTAGATGTACTTGCCTTTTCTAGAAGACAAAGCATTAACCTCCTCCTCCTCCAATTGGGTGTCTTTAGTAATAACGTAAAAGTTTGCTTGTTTGTCTTTGATGTTCTCTTAAGGAAGATATGGCTGAAGACAGTGGTGAGGCTCCATTAAAAAATACCGAGTAAATGAAGTACCTTCAACTGTGTTCCAAAGTCCTGTTGAAGTTATTTTTTTGAATATTTCAGGTTAAAACTTTCAGAAGATAAATTAAGACTTAAAAAGAGTTTAGAATGGACCTTTAAAATTGCCCTGTGTCCTGTTAGTAGTAAAAGAGGGAAACACGTTGAGAGAGGAGGATCGCTCGGATCCCGCCGCCCCGGCGACGCGGGCGTTCAGTCCCCGGGTCTGCCTGCCCGTCTCCTGCGGCCGCGGTTGTCGGCCCGGCCAGGGTTTGGCAGTAAGCTTTCTCCTACTTACTGTGTTTCATAAGTGTGCTCCATGTTGCTGTTTTAGTCTTCATAATTACCCTTAGGCTAAGGGCTTATGGCTTTTGTTTTCTACTTCTTATGGAAATTTCAAACAGCCCAAGGAGAGGGGATAGCTCGCAGCGCCGGGGCTGCACGGCTGCCGCGGCTGCCGGCGCGACGCCTCTTGTTCGGTCTGCTCTGCTGTCGCCTTCCACTTCTAAAGGAATTTCTTAAATTTATTTTTGCTGGAGTATTTTGTTTTACTTTCTCTTTTTTATTTGTTTTGGGTTGTTGATGAGCATGTGTGTGCGCCACACGATAACACGTGCTGGGGGTGAAGATCTCAAGCGCTCCCCTGGCGCATTTCAAAGCAAACACTAGCCGTTCTTCCCGAGAAGGCTGAACAATGTCTTTTTTTTTTTTTTTCCTTTTACTGTTATAGAGCCTTAATCATCCATTTTCTAGATAGTTTTTCCTTTTTCTCTTTCCTTAGGAAAAATTTCTGGGTGCGAATTTACAGTTTAAGGTTTGACGTTTTATTGATCTTGAAATGTACAAAGTTGACAAATTGCTTTTTTTCTTAAAAGTATCAGCATGTATGATTGGAGGTGGCTTTGCAAATGTATTCATTTTACCCTAGACTCAATATCATCTTATATTGCCCAGGATATTTAGTAAAGCAAAATAATTTTATGCAAATATATCTACTGGTACAATGTAATCATTGGTTTCCTTTTGGCAAAAGAGAAAACCAAATAAGTGTAAGTGCTGGAAACGATGGCCAAGTACCAATAACAGGTCATACCTGAACCCTCGTGTGCCAGGCGCTGTCACACATTTCAGAGTGTGCACTCGCTTACCCTCATCAGAACCTGGTGAGGGACACACGCCATTATTGTCCCCATGGTATAGATCAGCCTGTTGTTACTAAGAGATGGGTAACTCGCTCGAGGTCACACAGAATTTGAACCAAAGGAGTCTGACTCCAGAGTCTGTATGTGAGCCAGCTTTCTGGACTGACCCAACTAACCGTGTTTGAAGCTTCAGGGTTCTAGTGAAGTTTGGTGATGTTATTAAAATGATTGAGAATAAAGTGTAACAGAGGAGAGCGCTCAGTTCTCGGTTTTCAAATGAAGTTTTACTTCATGCGCTCAGATCTTATCGACCTGTCGCTGTGATGTCTTCTTTTCGCTCTCTAGCAACGGGCTGTTGTGTCATTTTCTATGTATTTAGTTTCTACCAAGTGTATTATAACTATTGCGCAGGACCCAACAGCCCAGTACCATTAGAAAAATTAAAACTGTCACCCTGGCTGAGTGACTTAGTTGTTTGGAGCACTGTTCGATGGCACCCAAAGGTCGTGGGTTTGATTCCTGGTCAGGGCACATACCTAGGTTGCGGGTTTGATTCCTGCTTGGAGCCCGTATGGGAGGCAACCGATGGATGTTTCTCTCACACGGATGTTCCTCTCCCCCCCTCGCCCCCTGCCCCCCGTCCTCTCCCTCTAAAAACAATGGGCATATCCGCAAGTGAGGATTAAAAAAAAATTGTCAAAGAACTGTATCAGCATTGAAACAGTTTTGGGGTTTTTTTCCCTTAAAGAAACAGCATGCCAAATGTGACCGAGCAGTCCCTCATTTCCACCGGAGACAACAGAGTGCAAGTGCTGAAAAATGTGCCATTTAACATCGTCCTTCCCCATGGCAACCAACTGGGCATCGATAAGAGAGGCCATCTAACGGTTCCTGACACAACAGTCACTGTCTCCATAGCAACAATGCCCACCCACTCCATCAAGACGGAAACCCAGCCCCACAGCTTCGCTGTGGGGATCCCTCCGGCGGTGTACCACCCCGAGCCCACCGAGCGCGTGGTGGTGTTTGACCGCAACCTTAATGCTGACCAGTTCGGCTCCGGCGCTCAGCCCCCGAATGCTCAGAGGCGCACTCCAGACTCCACCTTCTCGGAGACCTTCAAGGAAGGCGTGCAGGAGGTACAGGGGACACCAGCGTCTTCCTCAGAGGGCTGTGTGTTTGTATAAGTGTCGGGTTCCACCGTGTTCTCGTTATATAAGCCTGAAACTCAGCCTGAGATGAACAGATTAGGAACAAAAGTGGGATTTTTTTTTAATAGAGAAAGGACCCATGGGTATAAGTTGTAAGCTAACCGCATAAAACCAGACGCCGCCACCCAGGGCACGTGGCCGATCTTTCCGGCAACCGAGTTAGCGGTTGTGAATCCAGCCAGGCGCTTGCAGGAGGAGGAGGAGGACGGCCCCATCCCTAGTCTCCCCGCCGGCAGTGGCGACGTGCGCCCGGCCCGTGGCGGACTTTGCCCCAGGCCAGGAGGAGCCCAGCGCGGCTGGTCGGACTGCAGAGCGGCGTACGTCGCGTTTATCTGCTCGGTGTCGGTCGGCAGGGCTGTCGGGGAGGCCGGCGGGTCTGGGTGAGACGCGTGTTGCTTGAAAGTTACAGGTGCCTGCAAATACTTCTGAGGGTTTTGTGAGGAGGGAGGCCTCGCTCCAGTAAAAGTCAGGGACTGGAGACGCATGACACTATTTAATGATGGGGGGGCGGGGAGTATCTCTCCGCTTTCAGGGTTAGGAGCAGAGCAGTGAGTCCTGAGCAAGTGGCCCGGCCTCAGCCACGTGGGAGCCTGGCACCCGTCTCCGCTCGGTGCGGTGATCGTGCCGGCTCCTGAAAGTCGTGAGGTCTTGGTTGCAGATTCTAGAATTTGAACAGAGTTGGGGGTGTGGGGAAGACGGGAAAGGAGTAAGTGAAGCACTTTGTGGGAATGCTTACATAGATTATTTTAATTTAATTGCATGGCATATAACATAGCTCTTTTTCTTTTTAAATTTTTTTTTTGTTTTCATAAAGTTAAAATTTTTATTTGCAAATGATGTTGAAAGAGGTGGGGGTTGCTATAAGCCACGAGCTTTTATGCTGTACCAGATGTCGGTCTTTGGCAAACCTGATAACCAGTTAACTAGTTGTGGCTCATGACGTTGATATTTCAGGTTTTCTTCCCCTCGGATCTCAGTCTGCGGATGCCTGGCATGAACTCAGAGGACTATGTTTTTGACAGTGTTTCTGGGTAATAGTTGTCTTTTCATTTGATTTTTAACTTTCAGCTTTTATGACTTAGTTCCTTTTTGTTTATTGGACGTTGAGAAATCTGAGGTGGCTTTGGCGGGCTTTCCCCTGTGTCCCTGCGGCTGCTGTGCCCCAGGGCCTCGTTTTGCCCGAGGACATGGGCTGCCACCTCTGCACCCTGGTCTGTGTTTCCGGTTTCCTTCACCCCTGGTGTCGGTGCTTTCTCTGTCCTGCGGTTTCTTAACGTGATGGTTGTAGGATGGGACCTAAAAGCAGAGACGAGGGCACTAAGGTAGGTCTCCGAGGTCCCAAAAGTCTGTTTCCAAAAGGATACTATTCTGCAAGCATTTAGGAATCACATCAGGCGGATAAAAGTTTTTATTTTTCACTTAGCCTCACTGAGGATAAAACGAACGAAGTCAGCGTTCTTCTGGCCTGATAACTTCTACACGTCACAAAGTGGTATCGCACACGGGGAGTATAAAGAGTTAGGAGATTGATAAGGAACGTGTCATATTTCGCTGTGTATAATGCATGCACACTTTTTTGCCCAAATTTTTGAGGGAAAAGTAAGGATGCAGATTATACTTGTGTAGCACTAATTTGTCAGCAGCACATAAAATTTCTGGTACCTAAAACTTATAAATAAGTCACAGGGAGGCAAAGTACAGCATAGGAAATATTAATAGCATCAAAATAACTTTGTACAGTGACAGATGGATAGTGGACTTTTTGTGGTGATCACTTTGCAAGGCATATAAATGACCTCTCACAGGCGTTCTACACCTGAAACTGATATCATATTGTATGTCAGCTGTACTTTGAATTCAGAAGAGCTTTACATTTCGGAGTAAAAATTAGACATGAAGCAAAAAAAAAAAAAAAAAAAAATTCTTGTACCTTGTATCTGTTCTTGTGTTTTGTAATTATTTGTTACATAAAATTTCTTGTACTGCAATATAGTCAAAACTGAATGCTAAAATCCTTTTTTAATATGAAAAACAAGTATCTAAATATAAATAAATAAATAATTGGATTAAAGATTTAAAATGAAAGATTTTCTCCCTAAAAGTTTGGTCCAAAAACGTGGGCGTGTATCATACATGGCAAAATACAGTATATAAACACCTTCAGATTTTTTTTGGAAAGAGTTTAAGGTTTCATTTTGTAATTTTATTTTATGCATTTTTTTACGTGTGTATATTTCAAAGTAAAAAAAAGTTCTATTTAAAAGTGGAGAATTTTATGGGACTCAAGACTTCCCTTGGAAGACTTGCCTCAGGTGCCCAAGTCACAAACTCAAATGCCTTTAGGGCGGGGCCGGGGCGGGCTTCCCCTGCATTCGATGGCAAATGCGTGAGCCCTGTGGGCTTCGCTGCCTCTGTTGCAGCCGCCCAGCTCTGCTGCCGCAGCCGACAACACCCCTGAGGATGGGCATGACCAAGGGGTGCAGCTGGGCTCCAGTATGAGCCCTAGGAGGACACTGATTTATAAAGATAGGGAGAACTTGCCAAGCCTTGGTGATTCAGCAACTTCGGGGGCTGGGGGGATGGTGCCCTAAGGTCACAGAAAGTGCAGAAGATTGTGGAGTGCCCATCCGAAGACATTTAAGTCACAAGCAAAAGCAACAAATAGGTGCCTGATGGGAGGGCTGCCAGCCACCTCCTCGCGACCTTTGCTGGGTAAATACCAGGCTGGCTGCATGTCCTGTGAGCTTTCCTTTTGCTTATTAATATTGTGTCTTTAATGTCCTTTGCCTCCACACCGCGCGGTGTTAACCCCACCTTCTGGAATTTCTGGTGGGTGTCTTGCAGCCCCACCTGTGAGGCTGAAGGGTTTCTGTGCGCTTAGGTTGCGCTCCTTGTGGTGGGAGCAGCCAGTGGCCAGGGGGCGGTTTCCTGGCGGCCTCTCTTGTCATAAACCCACTGAAGCGTTGCAAGAGTGAGCCCAAGCACACAGCAAGCGTCCGAGGGCATGGATTGCACATCTGTGCCTTGTCTGTTCTTTAGGAACAACTTTGAATATACGCTGGAAGCCTCAAAGTCGCTTCGGCAGAAGCCGGGAGACAGCACTATGACCTACCTGAACAAAGGCCAGTTCTATCCGGTCACTTTAAAGGAAGCGAGCAGCAGCGAGGGAATCCACCACCCCATCAGCAAAGTGCGGGTGAGTCCTGCTCTCAGCTCCATCCCTGGGAAAGCTTAGTGTCTCCCTCTCTGAAGGAGACCCGAAAGATCTAAAGTGACAGCTTTAAGCCTTACCCGTCAAATCTAAGACTGCGTCCGTTTTCCCAAAGAAACTCGCCCTGCATTGTCTCTGTGCTGTAATGGACTCTCTTTCGCAGAGTGTGATCATGGTGGTTTTTGCCGAGGACAAGAGCAGGGAGGACCAGCTGAGGCACTGGAAGTACTGGCACTCCCGGCAGCACACGGCCAAACAAAGATGCATTGACATAGGTACGGAGCCCTGGCCGCCTCGGTTCCCAGAGGGCGGCGCCCCCTTGTCTAAATCCAATTATTTTTGGCAGCGATCAGCTTCCTGCTGAAAGCATTTGAATTTTCATGCCAGCGACTGATCTGTTCCAAACACTGTCCTTGGCCTCCAGGAATCAGTGCTCTTAACATTCTCTCCTTCATAAGGACATGTGCCCCCCACGGTGGCTCTCCATGTGACACCGGGGCCAGAGCTACTTAGCCAGCTCCCACAAGAGGGCCCGCTTTTTGATCTGCAACTTTTTTGAAGGGTAATGTCTTCACGACATTCTGATTATTTGGAGGCGATAGTAAGGTAGACGGAAAAAAACCTGTCCCCACGTACGAGAAACTAGGCCGGCGGGCAGCTATCTGACAGGCCCCGCCTTGCCTGCGGGGCTGCCCGCCGGGGCCCTGGCCTGGCCGCACAGCCCGCCCTCCATCGCCCGGTGGGCACAGGCCCGGCGGGCGCCCCGCCAGCGCAGCGGCTCCGTGGAAGCCCCCGCTCTTGTGTGTGTGTCGTCTGTATCCTCAGATGGCAGTCACTCTGCGTGTTCCTCCCTCTCCTTGCCTCTTGGAATGTCCCTGTTCTTTCAAAAGAGTGAAAAGAACTGAGTTCTACTCTTGGTTCTCTGGACTCATTTTGTGACCTCGGGGCAATTATTTAAACATTTTTAGACCGAAATATCCTAATTTTGACATGATGAGATAAATGCATCCAAGCTTGCCTCTATTACAAACATTCTTTTTCTTTATTTTTTGAGACTTCTTTCCACCCAACAGAATGTTAGTTTAAATTACCCACAGGTGATAATTTGCAAAACTGAATCTTAGGGTGAACCACGGTCATCCCTGCTGGAATGCGAAATGATGAGTTCTTTCTCTTTCTATCACTCATATAGCTGACTACAAAGAAAGCTTCAATACCATCAGCAACATCGAGGAGATTGCTTATAATGCCATTTCTTTCACTTGGGACATTAACGATGAAGCAAAGGTGGGTGATGCAGTCCCGGGAGGCCCGCGCTGCCAGCGCTGGGGGACGGTGGGAGGGGCCCAGCGGCCTGGCAGCGGACGGGTTCTAAAGCCCTGCAGGTCTTCGTTCTTTGCTTCGTTCTTTGCTGAGGAGCAGGGAGAAGAAGCGCAGTGCAGAAGGGAGGGTAGGGCCATAAATCATGAAGTGTGTGAAGGGGCAGGACTTTTGGAGAAGGAACAGCTACTATTGCATCAGCTACTATTGATCAGCGCCAGCCGGATTTTTTACTTTCTGTCCTTCCATTATTTCACATTTTCTGAAAGTATGGCTTTTTCCCAGATGTTACAAAACTGTCCTTTTCCCCTTTCTTGTCCTCTCCTTCCTCCAAAAAAGCCCATTTTTGTCACCACACTCCAACACGCAAAATGCAATGTGCGAGCCCAGAAGGGGGCGGAGCCCACACACACTGTGCAGCGGACCTGCCCCGCCCCCCGCCCCCGCCCCTGCCAGGGGACCGCAGGCCTATCTCCCCCCGCCCACCAGGCCTGCTGCAAGGGTTGTGGGGACAATGCCTACGACGCTGTTGGAGCTTTTGCAGAAAGGCCCTTAAACACGAGTGCCGTTGGCAGCAGTCTGTTCCAAGTTGTTACCTGTAAGGACGACATGTCTCAGATTCTTCCATCACAGGCTTCTGCAAGGGAAGGATGGCGTCCAATTCAGATGGTCATTTGGATAATTGGAATTTTTAGTACCTAGTAAGGAAAATTAAGCATATTCTTAAGTCATTTCTGCCTTTCCCTTTGAGTAGAATTCCTCTCTCCACTAAATGATTAGAGTTATGGTACTTATATCTTTTCATTAGTTTTTTTATTTTTATTTTTTATTTTTAGAGAGAGGAGAAGGGGGGGAGAAAGAGAGGGAGTGAAACATCAATGTGTGGTTGCCTCTCAATTGCCCCCTACTGGGGACCTGGCCCGCAACCCAGGCCTCTGCCCTGGCTGGGAATCAAACTAGCAACCCTTTGGTTCACAGGCTGGCGCTCAATCCACTGAGCCACACCAGGCAGGGCTCTTTTCATTAGTTTAAATACACTGTATCAGATGCTAAACTACTGCAGAATTTTATTTTCCCCTGCCTAGGATCCAGTCATATAACTGGATTTTTGAGAACCATGTTAAATTTTACTGTAATTACTTTCCTTTCTCACTGTGGTGGGCACGTCTGAGGGGAACGTGTGTCTTTGGGACTGAAGGGCATATTGACCGGGGGCTGCTGGTCTGCGAGGACACTGAATGTACGGTGTCTGCTGGCCACCTGGTCCCATACAGGCCGCCTCGGGCTGCTTGGTCCCGAGTTTGGTGCTTAATTAAGCAACGCGTTTACTACAGAGGAGCTACTAGAAGGAAAAGAAAACTTCTCATTTTATATAACAGTTGTTGCAGTAATTTTGAAATTAAATATCATAATGGGACTCAGTGTGCCGACTGCTAACAGCCTTTAAGAAGAGTTGGCCCCGTGCCCTCCCCGTGCTCCCGTTCTCGCAGAGAACTAGAGAAACGGGCCCCTGGGGCCCCTGAGAGGTTGTGGAGGAGGTGAGCGAGACGCGCCGGTCCCGAGCTCACTCTCCCGACCGGCGTGTGACCCTGAGTTTGTCCTTCGGCTCACCGGCTTGCTTTCCCCCCATTTATCCCCTAGAAAAGTACAAAGGCTCCAGGGACCGGCCCCCGCTTTGCTGGAGTGCTGTCGGGGCTCCTGAACACTTGTCAGGGTGTGCGGAGCTCTTGGCAGCGGCGCCCAGCACACGGGCAGGGCGCTTTGTTTGTTTGATGTGTCACCCGGTGGGAGGAACGAGTGCCCAGATGACAGGTGGGGATAATGGCTGGGTTTATTTTAAGGCCTTCAGCATATTTGTATTGAAGAGAAATATTGTTGTCAGAGGCGTGTCTTAAGTAGCCTTAATAGCATCGTTAATTGCTGGAGGTAAATTCAGTTTCATTTCCCCTTCCAGACCCCCAGTGCTGCCTTGAATTTTAAGCGCTTTCCTGCTACGGGACGGGGGTTGTGCCATTTCTTAATGAGGCTCCTGCCTTTTGAAGCTGGTATCAGGCGCCCGTTTCAAGTGTGTGTTGGAATTAAGGATCTGGAGTTTTGCTTTCCCTGGCCAAGTCGATGTTTGCTGTTTTCACACTTAAAGTAATTGGCGCCTTAGGGCAACTGGAGAGAACACGTGTACGTGCAGAACCCCATATAGACCTCTTTTTTTTTTTTTTTTTTGGCTTCTTTTTTTGGAAATATCCACTTTCCTGTTCTAATATAGGATGCATTTGTTGATTCTCAAACCCAGCTCGCCGTCCACAAACGTGAGGGTTCGTTGGAGATCCGCAGCACCCCCTCCCCCACCACGCTTTTTTTTTAAAAAAGATAACTCCTAGGCCCTTCTGGCCGCACCAGGATGAGGAAAACCAGAATTCCGGCCCAGTGCTGGCCTCAGAGCCCTCCTGTGGCATCTGCGTCCCTCGGAGGCGACTGTGTCGAGGACACATCCGGTTGGCTTATGCCCTAGTCAGGGGAGAACGCCATCAAGGCCAGACTGGCCTTACACCGTCCCCGGACACAGCCTTCCGCATAGTCATGTACTTGCTGTCACCACGGAATCCCGGAGACGTCATGGAACTTGGGAAAAATCACTAGTTTTCCAAGTGGTGGTCGAGAAGGACATCGCTGAGAGAGCAGGAGTATTTCAGACACGGCCCCAGGCAGCAGACCTGTCGGTCTCGTTTTTCTGTGCTCCACATGGTGGTGGATTTGTTTGGGTGGTCGGGCACCTTTTGAAGAGTCAGGAACCCCTGGACAAGATAAAATTCAGCAGATACTCACATTTCCCTGTGGGAGAACTTAAGCGGCTCTCCTCGCTCCCGATGTATCGCCGAGGTCAGCGGCTTGAGGCAGTCTCGGCAGGAAGAAGCGGTTCCCCCTGAAGCTTTATAGGATGGCGCCCAGGTGCTGGCGCTCGGAATCGTAAGCCGAGAGGGCACCTGTCCCCTTGCGGGGAGAGGACTAGGAGACGGGTCGCGTCCAGAAGGTGGGAGGATGGTGGGACTCCACTGCGCCGGCTGCGCCCCTGCGCCCGTGGCAGGCACTCGTAGCGGTACCGGGCAGACGCTGTAGGCCCGCCTGTCTCTGGCGTTGCGGCGGGTCCAGGCCAGCACACTGGTGCCGTCTTCAGGTGTCTTGTGGGTCAGGCGGGCTTTTGTGGGCCAGCCTGGGTTCCTAAATGTGACACAGTTATTTGTGGAGACACACAGTATTTGTCGTTGGGATGACGTGTTCTGCTCATTTCCGGAGTTCCAAAGCACAGGGAGCAGCTCTGGACGCACTGCCCATCTGAGCCTGGGGTTCAAGTCCTTGTTCAGATTGTAAATCTGAGAGTTTACAACGGCACGGAGATTTGGTTAGTGATAAGAAGTAAGGGCCTCTCGAAGCCTCGAGATCTAGAATAAACAGAGGCGCTGCAGTTCCCAAGGGAGAAGGGGCTCCTTGGGACAGCGGTTGAGTGCGGGGCGCTGAGGCAAGGAGCCAGCCTGTGTGTGACGGAGCGAGGCCGCGCACCCTGTGTGAGCCCATGGGACGCGCTTGGCTCTGCGATGGGCGCGTCGGGGTGAGGCCCCCAAGGAGGCAAGAGCCTGGGCCTCAAAATGCACAGAGGATGTCCTCAACCAGGGAGCCTCTCAGAGCGTAAGGGTTCTTTTCGGTAGAATACAGTGTGGTGGATTCACTGGTGTGAATGCCTGCCGTCAAAGGGCGCCTTTGCTACCAGGAAGTAATTTTTCTTGATTGTGGGATGAGCGATGTTTAACTGCAGAGGAGCGGGATAATAAATGGAAAAACAGTTGCATGGCATCAGGTGAAAACTGGACACCCGAGGCTACGGGAGCCCTTCACCCAGGGTAACGCCAACAGGAACGGGTGCCTGTGGATGGCACAGGACCGTGCTGGGGGGCAGGCCGGCAGTGCCTGCCCTCTGCAGGGCTCAGCGTTTCTTTGGTCGGCCATGAGCACCCACGACCTTGTACCGGGAGTGCCTCGCACGTCTCCTCCTGAGTCTCTTCTGTCAGCCCTGAGCAGGACCTGCAGGCGTCCTGAAGGATTGTCCCCCTGAGCCGGACTTTAATGTGTCCCGCAGAGGCTCCCGTTACAGAAGGAAAAGGATTAAAGCCGAGCGCCAAGGCGCTCCGCCACGCAGGGCCCCGTCTGCCGGCAGTGCTCCTGCTCTGTCCCTTTGTCTCCTGTCGCGGAGGGAGCGCAGGAGGTCCTGGGGAGGGGCTGCAGGGGCTCGCAGAGTTCGTCCTGTCCAAGGGCTGTGACCGCTCTGGTCACTTGAACCGAAGACTTGCTGGGTGTGCTTGTGGGATGCAGGGTTAGGAGTTTAATCCCAGCTTGTTGTGTTGTCTAAGCGTAATATTTGGAATTCACCGTGAGAGTAATTTTTCATTTGCTTGGACTGAGCGCATTGCTTGCATTTGTAGGGATTCCATTCTAGTGAAACATCAGTCAAGTGTGCCATTAAAATGAGGCGGTGCCGTGTGTGGTCGCATTAAGCAGGGACAGGTTTGGTTTGTTTCACAACTTGAAGTTTCCAGTGTGAATGGGAGGGAGGAGGGAGAGAAGTGAGTCAAACATCTTACTTGCAATTGCAATTCAACGTAGGCAGGAGGTTTAAAACAAAAGTGCACACTCCCTGGCCTACATAGCGAAGGAAGTCAGGAAGCACATCACCTCCGAGACAAAGGAGGGCGCCCGTCAAGCTCAGGCAAACGTGAGGCTGCGCTGACAGAGCAGGGTCGTCCGTGTTCTGTCCTCGACCCCTTGGGAACTGCAGGGTGGCCGTGGAGGCTTCTGGGACGACCTTCATTCCACTCCCAGGGCTGCCTTTCGTGCAGTTTGAAAATACATACGTGTCAAAGTGAAAAAAAAATGAAAAAGTTTGGAGCCAGAACAATAGTCCTCTTCCCTTACAGGAG